CGGGGATTTAGCTCAGTGGTTGTGCTGCCTGCCTCGAAAGCGCAAGGACCTGAGTTCGATCCCCAGTAACAAAAAAAAAAAAAAAGAGAGAGAGAGAAAGATCTTGTACTTTCCACTCAGGGGAGGGGGTTCCTTCAAGGTCCTTAGCGGCACAAGAGCTCTTGAGCAAAACCCAAAGCATTGCCAGTGTCTTCACAGAAGCGTCTCCCTGTGAACAGGAACCTTCCCTGTGCCCTACATTGTTCCAGAAAATTCAGAAGTCCAAGAAACACCCAGGCTACTTCTGACTCACAGCTGTCCTCATGTAAGGGTGGCTGCCAGCCCTGCATGGCACGCGTGGCTCTCCTTTCCTGGCCTGCCACCCTACTCTCCCCTTCCCCCTCCTCAACAGCTGCTGGTGTGGCAGCGTCTGGGTTGATCTGTGGACCAGGCGTGGCCTCCTCTCTCCCCAGCTTCTGGGCCTCTGTGTGTGGTCAGCAGGGCCAGCCTGGACCTGCAGCTTGCTCCTCCAGCCTGCTTCTCCAGCTTGTCAGACAGCAGAGTCCTTAGGAGCTCTGAACATACACAGATGCCTGGGCTCTGGCCCAGACGACTTCAGACTATGGGGTTGAAACCTGAGTATTAGCTGGCTTAAGAATCTCCCCAGGCTGTATTCTGGTCTGGTGGTGCAGCCTTGTAATTCCAGCAATGTAGGAGGCTGAGGTAGGAGGATCTTAAGGTTAAGTCCAGCCTGGGCACCTTAGCTAGACCATGTCTTAAAATAAAAAATAAAGAATAAAGGCTGGAAATATAGCTCAGTAAGAAGGCCTAGGGTTCAGTGCACAGTATGGGGGTGGATCTCTTCAGGCTCTGTGGCATGTTAGGACAATTGTGGTTGACAGCAGCTGATTGTATATTTCAAAATAGTTGGTAGAGAGTATTTCGGATATTCCCAACACAAAGAACTGATCACTGTTTGAGGAGATCATATGCCAGTTACCCTGATCTGATCATTACACATTGTACACATGTATTGGATTGTCGCACTGCACCTCTAAGTATATATGATGATTATGTATCAATTAAAAATAATTTTAAAAATATCCCCAGGCAATTCACATAAACAGCCTTCTAGAATGTATTCCCCATTAAAAAAAAAATTTCTGCTTAGTTCCTCAAGGATCTGGGTTCAATTCCCAGCACCAAATAAAATAATAAATAAAAGTGCAGTGTATTCCCAGCAACCTCTGTCTGTACTCCATATCTGCTCAGATGGCTTCATCTCGACGGGCCCTGACCTGTCCCCAGTATGCTAACAATCTAGTAAGAAGAGACTTCAACACACAGAAAAGTATACACCAATATAACATCTAGGGCTTGATTTTGTTCCTTTAGCCAGCTGGTTTTTTGTCTGGTTGTTTTTGTTTTTGCTGTAGTGAGGAGTGACCCTAGGGACTTAGGCACCCTAAAGCAAACATTCTACCACTAAGCTACATCCCAGCCCTTTAAAATTTTTATTTTGACATGGAGGTCTCTTACTAAGTTGTCCAGGCTACCTTTGAACTTGTGATCCTCCTGCCTCTGAGTGGCTGGGATTACAGTGGGTGCCACCTCACCCAGCTAGCTGTTCTTAAATTTGGGCCTACTTAGGGTCTCGGGGGATCATTATCCAATATATGTCCTCTGATCATGTTCCACTTGATTCTGATTCTGTGTTCTGTGGGTGAAGCTGGAGTCTGACTTTTTAAGCTCCTCAGGTTTCTGATGAGCCCTGAACCCAGAGAAAGAATTCAGGGACTGCAGGTCAGGGCAGGTTGCAGTTGGTGCAGGGGTTCTGTGAAAGAGGGTCCTGAGTGGTCTTTTGGCTGGATGAGCTCAGGGGAGGCAGTGTGTGGGGCTCTTGTCCCCAGCTCTGACACTGTATCCCTCTCTGGGTGCTGCCGATTTCTGGCTTTCCTGTCCTGCCATCTGGCTGCCCAGGCTTCCCCTCAGGCTGTTAGCACACCCTTCCTTAAGCAGGAAGTGCCTGCCTGGGGCTGCCTCTGTGACACCCTGACAGCAAGCTGTCACCATCAGTCTTCTAAGTCCAGTAATTAGAGTGGACACTGAGCATCACTGTGAATCAATCTTCAGGAACCCTAGGTCTGTTTTCTCCTGTATCCTCCATTTCCCCCGGGTCAGGAGGGAAGTGGCGGGGAAGTGGTGTTTTCAGACATTAGTCAAATTTTCCTGGTTTCTCAGGACGGAAGGGGGGCTATTTGGAGCCTAGGAGAAGAATGTGGGTGGATGGAGGACCACCACCCTCACCCTGGGTAGCTAGGCTGCAGCCCTGTCGTTCTGAGCGGGCAGGAGGCTAGGGCAGAGGGCAGAGCAGCCTCCAGGGGCATTGAGGGATGAAGTAGTTGAAATGTGATCGGCCCCCATCTGTTATTACGTGTGGGTTGGAGCCCAAACAGTTCCCCTAGTCCCACTTCATCACTCATAATTCAAGATAGGCCCCTGGAGGCCTCTGGGCTGTGGTCTGGGATGAGGAGATAGTTACGAAAGCGTCAGTCCTTAGCCTTGGCTTTCACATCCTGTAATTAGCTCATGGAGGGGCACAGGGGCTGCCATGCACTGGGCTCTCGCTGTGTATTTTCATGTAATTCTCCCAACAGTCCTGTGACACAGGGCTTGTTATCTCTATTTTATAGGAAGAGAAACTTGCCTCCAGTCAGGGCATGTTAATGTCACAGCTAGAATTCCAGTAGCTCAAGCTTTAAAATTATACCATGCAGCTTCTAGGGCATTATCGTGGAAATCAGAACTGAGCTTTCATTCAGCTCTGCTGCCAATTTCATGACCTTGGACAAATCCCTTCACTCACAAGTCACCTTCCTGGACTGCATAGCAGGGTGGACACAGATGTCCAGTCTCAGGCAGAGGCCCAGGGCTCCCTGTGTCCTGGAGCCCTTGGCCGTGAGGCCAGGCAGACGTGCGCCCAACGGTCCAGGAACTGAGTGGAGCTGAGTCTGCCTAGAGTGGGTCACAGTCCCTTCAGGGCTGTCTGTTACTCCTGACTTTGCCTGGTAGCTCCTCTTTGGACTCTGACTTGGGAGTGACACAGCCTGTCTTTCTCAAATTCAGAGATTTCCTTTTTTAAAAAAGTTGCTATGAAATTGAAAAAGTGTGTAAATATAAGTAAATGTGTAAACTGGATCACTCTCATTTTAAATGGTAATTTAGCTACTTCAAGGCAGCTTTCATTTGTTTATTTATTTGCAGTGTTAGGGATGAGCCTGGGGCCCATGCATGCTAGGTGGTAGGCACTCTACCACAGAACTAGCACATTAAAGGCAGTTTCTTGAGCCCCTCTCCTGGAATGATCAGTCATTTCTCTATTAATCCTTAGGTAAATTTATTAAATCCCTGTGATCTAAAATTTGTCTCCTTTTATTATTTTGAGATAACCCTTGGTAGTGGGGGATTCACAGGTATTTCTGGGAAGCCAGTGGCACCAGGAACTCCAGACAGATTCTCAGGTTATACACTGGAAATGCCACAGCTGATTTCTAATCTTGGCCTTTACCATCATTTGTTAATGTCCTGTGTCTCCATTATTTCATCTCTTCCATGGAAAGGTTAGAAAGCTAAGGGTATGCCAAGGTGGAGTATATTGGCAGACATGGAGCCTGTGAGCTTCCTGTTGTTTTAATAGTACATTTACATAGTGTTTTTTAGTGCACAGACATCTTTTTCTTTGGCACTCATAACAGTCCTATGACATAAGCTAATGGGTATATTTTTTATTTCTGTACAGTGGTACCTTGGTTCACGAACTTGATTGTTTCCATGATTCTGGTTGAAAACGGAGTTGGATGAGAACTGAATCAAATTCAATGGTTAAGTTCAATGTTGATCTTATGGGAAAATTTGATTCGGTTCTTGTCCGGCTTAGTTTGTGACCAGAATCATGCAGAGAATTGAGTTTGGAAACTGAGGTACTGCTGTATTGTCTCAGTTTGTGTACTGTCAGCTTTGAAAATAATTTCGAAATGGTATAAAACAGGATAAAGCCATTGAGATCAGAGCAATTGGCAGAAAAAAATGTAATAACTGGCACTGTAGAGAGTATTCTATGTACCAAGGATAACTCCAAGGGCTCTGAAATGTATGAACTCATCTTTACCACTGAAATCCAAGGTTAGACATTCCTAGTCTGAAATCCAAAATCTGAAAACTCAAAACTTTCTGATGTAACATGTTGCTATAAATTCCACACCTGATGTCATGAGACCAGTTGCAGTCAAAATATAGGTTCAATAAAAATAATATACAGGGCCAGGGATTTAGCTCAGGGGTTCTGGCATCTGCCTCGAAAGCGCAAGGTCCTTTGTGTGACCCATGGTACAAAAAA